ATAGATTCCTTCTACTGCTCAGGCACTTCCACCTTATTCCAAATAGAATTAATGAGTTTATGGACCTCAGAATGTAATGCTTCACCTCCTGCTTGAAACACTTGTACCAGAATTTCATCAATATCTGGCAATTCCACTGTGAACCATTGATATGTACAGTGGCCATCTTGTAGTGCACTCAATTTCACCACTTTGAACATAAGCTTGAAAATTGTTTGAATAGTAGAAACTAATGTTGAACATTAGTTTTAATTCACAGAAGTGCATGGGGTCAACATTAATTTCATGCTGCTGCTGATATATTAAACAAACCCAGAAGAAACTATTTTAGCCCAGTTTCTCTTATACATTTACATTACATAATGTTGCCAACTAAACAGATCAGAGTCCTTGTCGAGAAAACTATTGAAATTAGTCTGGAAATTTCCAGAATTTAATTCAATCTGAAGGTTCATTACTGTGTCTGTAAGATTCCACCACTCTTCCCTATCCTAAGCCAGATGAATCCAGTCTACGCTCTCCAAACCTATTTCTATTAAGATTAATTTTAATGTTATCCTCCCATCAATGCCTAGGTCTTTTCAGTGACATTCAGGTTTTCCTACTGAAACTTGTGTGTGTTTCCCATCTCTCCCATGCCACCATATGCTCTGCCCAGCTCATCTTCCTTGATTTGATCTTCCTAATAATCCTTAATGATACTGCTGTTGCAAATTAGAGAATTTGTTTCCTGATGTGCATAAGTCAGATTAATTAACAGGAATCAGTATGTTTATTTTTGCTTCTTCATATAATTTTATATTTCTGCATATTTTTGATTTAATGAAAGTGATTTTTTAAGTTCAGTTAGTAAGGTTTATTACTTAATGACACCTTTATTATCAAGACTGTGTGATTAATGATTATGGAGCAGTTGGTTGAATGAGAATGGGTGAATTGCAACCAATACCAAAACATGGCATAGGTTAGGAATAAAATTTGATTAACTGAAATTCCTGTCTAGGAATGCTGACTGATATCTGTAGCTTTATTTCTCTGTGGGTCTTTAAAGTGTTTCTTGAAATTATTTGTTTGTTTTATTGCTGTACAGTGAATGAGAAGATTCGTTATAGCGGAACTAATGAAAGCTCATTTCCAGTACATGTTTCACCATATTTATACTGTGTTCTACTTGTGGTTACAACAGGCTTCCTCCATAGAAAAGGGCATGTATCCAGCTCTCCTAGGGAACCATCATTACTGGAATGATTCCTTTGAACATAAAATAAAGCAGTGCTTCATGTGAAACCAGTTTAGGTGCATAATCTTCTGCCATGCCACATGAAATATCTGGTATCATTAATTTAAACATGTTCTTTGGAGTTACCATTCTGATTTTCTTCTGGGATGAGAACTGTTTAAAAGCGTTGCAAACCTAGAATGCAGCAGATGCCATGATCATCATTCAGAGATTAACACTTTTCATGGTGAATTTTATACAGCAAAATGATTAATATTTTCAGTTGGTGGCAGCTCCCAAGGTTCCCAACCGTCAAAGCATTTGGGCCTAGAATGGAATAAAGCCCCCCCCCAAGTGCATATTCAGGGGGTGGTCAAATAATGTACACTGAAAATTGAGGAATAGAATTTTTTGTGTTGTCTGCATTGAAAGAACTTCAGCTGGCAACACAGGATGCCCTTCCATTTATTTACATTCTGTAATGCTCGTTTCAGTGAATTAGTGATTGTGTTGAGTGATAGTCCACGTGAAAGAACTGGAAAATGGGACGTTTGTCCAATTTTGAAAGAGGACAGATCATTGGTGCGAGTTTAGCTGGAGCATCTGTAAAAAATTGTCACATCATTAGGTGTATTGAGAGTGACAGTTCCTAAGGTTATGTCAGCATATGTGGGTCATGGGAAGACAGCGTCAACAAAGAGGAACACTGAGCACGAATCAACATGACAGAAAGAGATCGTACATATAGAAGGATTGATATGAAAAATCACAGTAGTACTGCAGCACAAGTGACAGGACAGAAGAACTGAATATTCATCTTGAAGATCCTCATGCCACAAAAATTATCTGACATAAGCTTCACAAATCCTACATCCGCTGTATGGATCTGATTACTGGAACTAATGCTCAGATGTGTAAACAATGGTGTCATGATAATAAAACTTGGAAATCAGACAACTGGAAGTGTGCATGCAATATGGTCAGATGAGTTGTCCTTCATGCTGTTCCCTACATCAGGAAGAGTTTACATTTGGAGGACACCCAAGGAGGCCTACAATCCAGACTGCCTGGTCCCAACAGTGAAAAACAGGAGAGGATCTATCATGGTTTGGGCAACAGTATCATGATACAATATCCTGTTGGTCCCATACTTACCCTTCATGGCCAAATTACTGCAAGGGAGTATCTATGTGGACAGGTTGGTGCCTTCCATAATCCAGATGTTATTTCTGAACAATGATGCACACAGCTGGAACTGTTTAGTCATGGTTTGAAGAGCATGAAGGTGAACTTCAGCATCTTCCCTGGCCTGCACAATCACCAAATTTGAACATCATTAAACCATTCTAGCCAGTTCTGGAGACTAGAGTGAAGAACAGATTCCCACCTACAATATCTCTAAAGCAACTTGAAGATGTTCTTCAAGAGGAATGGTATAAAATTCCACTAGAGATTGTTCAAAACTTGTATGAGTCCATGGCAAGAAGGATTGCGACTGTACTGAAGGCAAAAGGTGGCCCAGCACCATGTTAATAAAGAAATGTATGCAGTATCTGTAGTGTTTCCATTATTTTGTTCAACCCCTGTATTTAGTGTTCTTCTTTAAATGTTTGTGTTTTAAGGCTTTGCTTGTTATGTTACATAGGACACTTCATTTTTGTTTATTTTTTGTTGTTTCATTTGAAATGTCAGGCTCATTTTATGTTGACAAGAACATTTTAAGCATGTGATCTGTATCTCTTGTGACTTGCTGCAGAACACCTTGCAACTCTTGGCATAAATATGATCCCCCCCCCCTTGGGTCATGGGAGGCTTGGGCACCTCTAGGCTCATCTCTGATCTCTGTGCTATATGAGTGTTTGCGTACAGAGTGATGAACAGACAGCAGACACTAACAGATGCTTCAGCAAGAATCCATGCAAGCCTAACAATGAATTCTGTAACACGTAGCTACCGCAAAGTTGTGTTTGATCAGTTCAGCAGTTCTCCATTTATTTTTCATCATATATTTGTTCAGTATCAGCATTAAAATTACAGATGTCTGCATTTACGCCATTACCCTTTCTGCTTCATTTTCACTGATATACACTCATAGTTCACCAGTGCATGCCAGTTTCTATTGTCTGACATGAAAATTGGGTTTCTAATAAACTTTCAGCCATATTCATATTACAGGCTTATTCAAAATAATAACCCTCCCAACAGCACTCTCTTAGCCTCCACACACCCTCCTCTTACCCTCTCACAAACTTACTGATAGTCTTGCACACTTTAGTTGCTGTCTTATTTCGTCTCACACAAATAGAAAACACAAGAAAACAAAAATGTCAACAGGTGACTCTTTGTTTAGCCAGACCCTTAATTACCTGTAACAGGAGGGAGAATAACATGTTCACACAAGCTGGGAAGAAAGCTGCATAAGAAATTCTACACACACACACACACACACACACACACACACACACACACACACACACACACACACACACACACACACACACACACACAGACACACACACACGCACGCACGCGCGCACACGCACACACACACACAGACACAGACACACAGACACACAGACAATCTTTGTATTCTTTAAACAAAAGCCATTTACCTATCAGGGTCCACATATGCAATGGCAACCCTTCTCTCCACAGTTGATGCAGTTTGCCTAAATGGATTGTAGAGAGATTGTACTGTAAGCCCCAATTCAGTACTGACACAGTAGGTAAAAACCTCCTTCTCCTCCCCCTTCTTCTTCTTCTTCTTCTTCTTCTTCTTCTTCTTATTGTTATTATTATTATTGTACAACACGTTCATGTAGGGTTTACAGCTTGGAACAAACTTTTCATAACATTTCTCAAATTCAAGAAAGCTTGCAGGTTTGCCACATTTTGAGGTACTTCACTAAAACATATGGACTCAGCTTTTTTGTCATCCATGCAGAAATGAGTACCAGGAATATTCTTGGAATATCCTTGGGGGTAAAGGGCGACCGGCACGTAAAGCTGAAAACCTTGCCGCCATCTGTGAGCCAATTGTCTAGAAAATGTAGGAACATCAACATCTCACAACCCTGTGGGCCTCCACGGCCTGTTACAGGGATACCGTTACTTTACTTTACTATGTGTCATGTGATTTCATATAGTATATATCCAAGATATATGACCATTGATGCCAGAGAAATACATGTAAATACTGCCTATCTAACAGTAATAAAGAGAAATAAAAAACAAACTCCGTGGCTTTCGTCTGCAAGCGAACTCTGCTGACCGAGTGACCGCCGCTTGTCGGCGAAGATAGTGCCAATTTTAGCAGCTAGACAGTGTCACATGGTCAGCGCAATGAATCTCCACAGCCATTAATTTTGGTTTTCTAGACCAGTAAAAGGAAATCACAGACTGTAATTTATAGTAATTGCTTGTTGGAGTTCAGAATTTCTCTGTACTCGTTTTGAAAATGGCATTTCTTGTACAGATGATTTCAGACATTGATATCATGGCTCCTTAAGTACAGAAGGGTTTCCTTTTGACTGCAGAAGGGTGTTGTATGTGTAAATTGTGCAGTACCCATAGTACTAACAGTAGCACTAAAATGAAGCAGTGTGGTTTTAAAACATGGGACTTGGACAGTTGCTATTGACATTGAAGGCTTCCAGAATCCTGGAATCATCAAGATTTACTCCAAATATTATGATTGCCAGTTTCAGGGTTAAGCCTTCTAGTGTAGTATAATTGAGGTCTGTATTTAATACTGTTAATCAAACTGTTTTCTCTTTTGCAGCAAACACAAGTGCACAACGGGACCGAAGTCGAGTAACACCCATAAGAGGTAGGAACATCTTGCTGTGTATAGTAAAGACAAGAATAAGTATAAGGTACAAAAGAATTGATGAGCCATGTAAAATTTATGCAGTAGCACAAAATATCTTGAAGTCTATTGGCCAGATCCTGTGGAGGTTGCATGTTAAGATATATTTTCTGATAGAAATAATCCACTTTCATGTTAACTTTTTGCAGCCAAACATTGAAATCTTTCTTTCTAATATTTTTTCTTCATGGACTGATCATTATAAGGTGACATTTCATTCTTGTGTATGCATGGAAGAATATTTATGGATATATTTTGTAAATGGTATAATGTAGCTAAGAGAAAAAGTTTTACATTTCTAAATGCCAGCACACCTATGAGAATGTGATTTCACAGATAAATATATATATTTTTTTTTGTGCTGGAATTACCACTATATAAGACTACCCCATCAAGATACCACATGACACCGAATATCAAAATGAACTGGCAGGTGTGTCATCAAAGGAACTGAATGCTTTCATGGCTGCTTTGTCTTTGGAAATATTTTCTTCCATCGTTGACTTCTGTCTGTTGTTTTATCTTAGTACTTTTCTCACATCGTCCTCTTTCTATATTTGTTCTTACAACATAAAGTTGTCATTCTACAGGGAATTGAATTTATCCTTAGACCAGAAGCCTAGAAGTTTGTTTGCCCACATCTGGCCAGTGTTGACCATTGAACAGTTGCTTAGTCACCCATTGCTGTCTAGCTTATCTTGATAGTGTTGCTTAATTAGCATGGGTAGTGGCCCTTGTGGTACATACAGGTACAGTTTTCACACTGTTGTGAAAAGTGCTGTTCAAAAATGAAATAGAGTGTTGAACTGGAATTATTCATATATGATAAATTCATACAGTGTTCTACAAGGAACTGCCATAGAAAGTTTCATAAGAAGTATCCTGAGAGTAGAATGTCATGTAATGTAATGATTTGCAATATTGTAATGGAATTGGAGCTGGACAAAAGGAATTCTCGAAACAGACATACACTGACTAAAGACAAATTTGATGACATTTATACTTGGCTAGAAGCAAGCCCAAGGGAGTCATTATGTCTCTTGACTTTTCAATGTTGGGTGCAGAGGATAAATGTGCCCACACATTTTTCTAAATCATTAAATTCCAAACGTTATGTGAGATTGATTCTGTTGCCCCTCTTTAACGTTCTGACCAAAGATGAAGAATTTCATGCAAGATGATGCAATAGCACACAATGTGGAAACCATTAACAAAAAGTATACACCATGTACTACGAAGAGATTCTATGTTCTTTCTGTTCAGTCTTTAAGTAGTGTAGTGGGATTTGACAGAATTCATGCTTGAAATTTATAGTAGTATCTCACGTAAATGGGGGGTCACGCGGTAGCATAGTTGGTTGAGGGGCTATGGTACAAGCCGGAAGGTCGCAGGTTCAAATCCTGATGAGATCATTGGATTTTTTTCAATTGACCTAATCCTTCCAGTCACTCTACAGCCCTGGGGTCGACTCAGCCTCTAACAGAAATGAGTACTAGGAATTAATTAAATAATTTTCCTGTGTATGACTGTAGATGGGATATGGATTGGATATATTATTTATTGACCACATAAACACATTATTCATAATTACACTTTACAGCTCACTGGTACACATGGACTAGTGTCCTCAGTCTATTACATTCTCCAGTAGCCATTTCCTGGCAACGGATTTTAACACAGGAACTATAACAGCCTGAATGAACTACACACTTTTTTCACAGCCTCATTCTTGCAACTAACTCTTTTCATCACAGCCTCCTATAAAGAATTCTTCTCTACTGATGGGGTCTCAGACAGGCGGCCATTTCATACGAGCCTCCTAGTCTTCTCTTCACAGGCTGACTTTCAACTGACAACTGACAACTAACTGGTGAACTTAATTGTCTTCAAGATAACTTCTTGGTGCAGACCACATCAAATGCACCTTCTTCTATTGCTGCATGCATGTTCATTTCTGTGGGAACTTGTTTACCGAAACTGCTTAGAAAAATGGGTTGCATAAACCCATTGTTATATTGCTGCATGAGTGTATATTGCAGTTACCTAACAATGACTGCTGTATACAGAGCCATGCTTAGCAACAGGTCTATACACCACAATATATTTTCAGACATCAGCTTGTTTGAAGAGTTCTATCATCTGGGATACCTCGCCATGTAGTCCACTGAACGTCAACCAACGTTTTGGAGGAACATGTCTCCTCCATCTTCAGGGTTAAAGAATAAGCCAAGCAAGAAATCAGCGTTAAGATGGAGGTGACATATTCCTTCAAAACAGTGGTTGACTTTCATCAGTCTACACAGCGCTATATCCCAGAAGACAGAACTCTTCATAACCGCTGCTGTGAGAATCTCAGATCCTACATCACCTTGTTTGTTCCTTCATGCTTGTTGAAAGTTTAACACAGTAAATATCAAGTTGTGAAGTTTTTCCTTTCATTTAGTTTGGAAATCATATTTCTCAACAAAAGAGTCCATTCAGCACATTGTGGATACAAAAACGAGGTTGTGACTGTATTATTCCATAACAAAGAATTCTGAGAATGTCTAATGAATTATGTGGAACACATAATTCATGCTGACCATCGTTTGTTATCAACAGGACCCGGATTTTCATGACCTGAAAATATTTAAAAAATGACCTATAAAATGACTGAAAAAGTCCAGAAAAATGACCTAAAATATGACCCAGAAATGTAATATGCAGGACCCGGATTCTGATGAGCTGGAAATATTAAAAAAAAAATGACCTATAAAATTACCGAAAAAATCCAGAAAAATGACCGAAAGGAGAAAAGAAAGAACACTTCGCTTCCATGTTATTCACATTTCAGAAAACATATGAAGAACATTTACCTAAAATGGCCAAAAATGACAAGAAATACCCTTAGAAGTCCAAACATTTACCAAAAAATTACCCCCAAAATGAAAAAATGACCTTAAACCTAAAAATGTCAAAAAATGACAAAAAATCACCTGTAAAATTTACATTTCTGTGACCAGCAGCTCATATCCGAGATTTATATATATTTAAGAGCACCACATAGGATACAAGGAAAAAAAAAAAGATGACATGTCATCAAAATCCAGGTCCTGGTTATCAATGACAATGAAAAGTGGTACTACACAAACAGATGTAACAGCCTTGACTGTAAAAGATCCTATATAAGTCACAAGAAAAACCATACCGACAGCAGCTGATATGCATAGAAAGTGTTTTGGAACATTTTAAAGTGAAATTTATAGAGCACTTCATTGCATGAAGTATAGATTTTATTCTTTGACTACTTTGTTTCTGGCTATTACAGAACTAAGACCTGTAACATTGTTGGATGATGATAATATTACCTTACATTGCATAAGGGAGCAGACTGAATTCAACTGCTGTGGGATGGGTTCAGTGGCAGGTTCTTGTGAATATGGTAATGAACCTTGGGTTCACTAAAAGAGCATGTAATTTCTTAAATCATCTGAGGGACTGTCAGCTTGTAGAGTCTATGTTGAATGTGGTTGCTTCATTCAGAGTGTCCTGGGAGATAGTGGCCACCTTGAAAGAGGTTATTAATCAAGTTATTTTGAATAAAGAGTCATATGAACATATTTACAGTTTGCAGTGGGTGAAAAACTGTGATTATGGTTGTTGTTGTTGTTGTTGTTGTTGTTATTGTTGTTGTTGTTGTTGTTATTATTATTATTATTATTATTATTATTATTATTTATTTCATTCATCGTTTTAGACAA